GTTTCATTGGATAGGCAAAAGCATTTGACTGTTTGGATCACAACAAATTGTGGCTAACATTGAAAAGAATGGAAATCCTAGAACACCTTATTTTGCTAATGTGAAATCTATACTTGGACTAAGAAGCAGCCATCATAACAAAGCAAGAAAATACTGCCCATGCTTCCTGTCTCCATAACTTCTCAAACTTTGACAGGAATAGATGATTTAGGACGTTGGACTTTATGAAGAGAAATGTGGCATCAGGATTACTCTTCAACATCTGCATTACGCAAATGACACAACTTTGCCTGACGAAACTGAGGAGGGCCTGAACCATTTGCTACAGAAGGTCAAGGAATACAGTCTACATACAATATGGATTGGAATTCAACATAACGGAGACAAAGATTCTCACTTCTGGTCCAATTGACAGCACCAAGATTGATGGATGAGAGATTGAGATTGTTAATAATATCAGCTTGCTTGGGTCCAAAATAATAATCTTGGCATCAGTATTCAGTAAATCAAAAGAGGAACTGCATTGGGGAAATCTGTTGTCAGGGACATTTCCAGAGTGCTAAAGCGTAACATTGTCAGGCTAGAGACTAAGGTGTACCTGATCTAGGCCATGGCCTACTTACTTGCTATGCATCAAAGAGCTGGACAATGACTAAAAATGATAGAAGACTTGAAACCTGTGAGTTGTGGTTTTGGAGAAGAGTGTTGAACATTTCATGGATTACCGAAAGAATAAACAGGTTTTTCCTGGAAAAGGTAAAACCATGTTTCCCATTAAAGGTAAGAATTTAGAGGCTCTGTTTACATATTTTAGGCATATTGCCAGAAGAGACAAGACCTAGGAAAAGGGCATTATGCTTAGAAGGGTGGAAGGATAGTGTAAGAGAAAAGAATCTGGAGGAAATGGATTTACCCAATAACTGGGGTAATAAGGTTAGGTGTGTCAGAAACAGTGTGTTTGGCTCAATATAGGACAGGGTTTAGGGATATTGTGCAAGGGTCACTATGTGTCACAAATTACTTGACAGCATATATCAACAACAATACACACACACACACACACACACACACACCAGTCAGTCAGTTGTAATACCAGAAAGGCATGATTTTGCACCAGTTGTGAAGGTCTCTATCAACTATGATACCAAAGTTCCATGTGTTTTATTGTGTCTGTTTGTGTGTATGCACATTCATACACATGTTGTTGTTTTTGATTGCTGTCAAGGCGCACATGACACATAGCGACCCTATGAACAAAAGACCTACAGGCTTTCTGTATCGTCATTTCTCCAACTTGATAGAGCTTCCAGAGGCATGGGATTTGGGAATTGGATGCCATTCCTCCTTCCAAATCTGTCTTAAAACTGGGAGCTCCACCAAACACTGTCCACCATAGGGAACGATTATGGCATTTGACACCCCAGTGGCACAAGGTTCAGCATCACAACAAACCCAGATTAGCTCAGTACAATTAATTGAAAGAAGAGTGCTGTATGACATAAAAGAATGTTCCTCCAAACATCCCAGTCCTGCTGTGTCATATAGTTCTAAAATGGAGACATACATATAAATGTTAAAATTATCAAACAATCTAGTAATATCACATCCAAGCAAAATATTAATGAAAATCATTTTAAAACAACTACAATTATACACTGTGTAGAATTGTCAGTTCAGTCTGGGTATAGAAGAAGTGTGACATCAGGGATCTCACTGCTGTCAGATAGATTCAGTCCAAAAGTGAGAATACTTAGAGAATATCTATTTATGTTCTTTGACTAGGGGAAAACAAACAAACAAACATTTGACTGTGTGGATCAGAATAAATGATTACTAACCTTAAGAAAAATGGGTATCTCAGGACATTTATTTGCACTTATAATGCAAAACCTATATCTGGGTCAGAAGGTTGTTATTCAAACAGAGCAAAGGAACATTACATGGTCTAAAATTAGGACAGGTATGTGTCAGCGTTGCATTTCAACTCCATACCTACTCAATATATATGCTTAGCAAATCATTCAGGAAGGTGGACTCCAAGAAGAACGTGGCATCAGGATAAGAGGAAGACTAGACAACAAACTGATATTATGTAGTTGACCTCAGTCTTGGTTATTTAAAAGTTAGGAGACTTTGAAACACTTGCTGCAGAAGATCAAAGCCTACCACCTTCAGTATGGAATACATCTCAACATTAAGAAAATAATAATTCTTACCATTAGACCAATATGGTAAAATTATGGCAGATGGAAGAAATGATTGAAATTGTCACTGATTTCAACTTACTTGGATCCACAATCTACACACTAGCAGCTGTAATATCAAGAGGCATATTGCATTGGTCTTTCCAGTCTCTTGCTATGCATCTGAGAAATGAACAATGAATAAGGATGACAGATGAAGAGTTTATGCTTCTGAGCTGAAGTGTTGGATAAGAGCACTGTACATTCCATGGACTGCCAAAAGAAAAGAAAAAAAGAAAGGATCTGTCTTGGAGATGGTGAAGCCAAAGTGCTCTTTGGAGGCAAAGATGATGAGGCTTCACCTCTCATACTTTGGGCATGTAGGTAGGAGGGGCTATTCCTAGGCTAAGGACATGATACTTGGAAGGATGGAGGATCAGCAAATGACAGTAAGTCCTTCAAACAGGTAGATTTACACAACACCTGCCACAATGGGCTCAAGTGTGTGAGGAAGTGGGAGGATGGCACAGAATAGTTCAGATCTGTCGTTCATAAGGTCACTGTGAGTCATACCTTATGATGCCACATAACAACAACAATCTGGACTATAAATCTTATATTATTTTTAACATAGAGATGAGATATAAAGTATCCTATTAGATTATCATCCTAACCTTTTCATAGAAAGCTGGCTTCTCAGTTTTTCAGTAGGCACAATGCCACCAGAACAGATGGGTCCCTGAGATATCTAGAACATGCATAAAGCTTGACAATCACGTGTTGGATGAAAATCTAAGAGTATGGGTCTGAGAATCTCACGTTCCTGTTAAACTGAAATGATACTGACATTTTTGTAAGCATTTGAATATTAAAAACTGCAGCTTAATTATATATTTTAACTTTCGCATTTGAGCTTCTACAAGCATTTCTTAAATCTTTGCAGCATAAGTATTCTCCAGAATGTTCATTTTTCCCTCAGTATTTTAATATAATGTTCTGTTGGGAACATCTGAATTTATTGTTAATAGAAAAGTAGAGTACTCTGAAACAGTTCTGTTTAATTTTTGTTCTTTTTCTGATGTTGTTGTTGTTATTGTTGTTGTTAGGCACCATCTAGTCAAGTACAACTCATAGCAACTCTATGAACAAACGATCTGAACAGTCTTGTCCTGAACCATTTTCACACTTCCTCACACACAAGAGCCCACTGCAGCAGCCATCTTGTCAAAAAACCTGGTTGAGGGTCTTCCTCTCCTTCTCCAATCCTTCACCCTTCCCAATACCGTTCCTCTTCAAAGAATAGCACCTCCTGGCAATACATCCAACATATGTTAGGCAAAGCCTCATCATTCTTGCCTCCAAAGAGCACTCTGGCTGCACCCTTTCCAAGACATATCTGTTCGGTTTTTTTTGGCCATCCATTGAATGTTCAGTGCTCTTTTCCAACACCACAGCTCAAAGGCATCAATTATTTGTCTGTCACCTTTATTCATTGTCCAAGTCTCAAATGCATAGCATAGCTAGTACTCAGACCATGGTCTGAATCAGATGCACCTTAGTCCTCAAACTGGCATCACTACTCCTCAATAATTTGAAAAGTTTCCTAACTATAGATTTTTCCATTGCAATGTGTCTCCTTATTTCTTGACCACTCATACCAAGAGTGTTAATTATGGACCCAAGAAAGATGAAGCTGTTGACAGTTTCAATCTCCTCTCCATTCATCATGGCACTGTGTATTGGTCCAGTGGTAAGAATCTTTGTTTTCTTGATATTGAGAAACTATTCATTATTTTGTCAAATATTTTTCAAACATATTCAAATAAAAGCTAGACGAGGTAACATTCACAAATAAAAAACAAAACAAAATCTTATTAATCTAAATTAAAAAGAAGCTAATACTAGGACAACAAAACTCCCTAATAAACTCTTGAAAGGAAAATATATTCTTTTAAAAAATTGAAAACAGTGTATTCAAATTATTCAAATTTTGTAAATAAACTAGTATAATAAATAAAAAGTAAAAAAAGTTTAGTTGATTTTAAGTACATTCTTTTTTGAACAAGTGGTATTTTATCTAGTAATCTGCAAGTACATGAGATTTAAGAAGACTCAGCAAATGAGGAGTCAAAATGAATCTCAGATTTTATTCTTTACTGCCACTGAGAACTAATAGTGTAAAGAGTGAGGAGGCTTAGTTGGTTCATCTCGATGTTATTACTGTGGTCTTTCTCTGCCTTGTGAACTTTTGTTATCTGCTTTACTTTGTTATCATAAACTTGATATCTACACTATTTTCCACATATTTTTAAAAGATTTACATGTTTTACAGACTTAATATGGTGTTACTTTTAATTTTACACACACCTGCACACACTCTCTCTCTTTCTCTCTCTCTCTCTCTCACACACACACACACACACATACACACTACTCACATTGTAATTTATAGGCACCGTTGAATACTATTAAACATGGTAATATTCTGCTTCCATTTGCATATAGTGTATTGTGGTTAAAAATATTATCATTACAATTTGTTATTATGCATCCCACTCTAGAAAATCTAGACTAAATGAGAAAGTCAATGAAATTGAGATACATCATTTAGCAAAAGTTAGCTATTGAATATTAACAAAAAATATTTTAAATATACTCATAGGTCCTTTTCTAAACGCTCCTAAAAGATAGGTGAATAACAACAAAGCAAGGCTTATTATCCCTTATTGTTATTTTACACATAATTCAGGTCTCAATTTGAAGACAATTAATTTTTTTTTGTGGAAAGTATCACAATTTGAAATATTGTTAATGCAGGAGAGGAGTCGCTCACAATTTTTGTGGACAAACGGAAGCTGAGCAAAAGGTCTGAAGGAAGTGATTCCAGTACCAACAGTTCTTCAGTCACTCTGGAGACGCTGCATCAACTAGCTGCTTCCTACTTTATTGACAGGGATAGCACCCTTCGGAGACTTCACCACATTCAAATTGCATCCACTGCCATAAAGGTATGATAATACTTTCTCTATAATTAACTTTTGCATTGTTTGCTCTATTTCTAAAATATATTTCTATATAATTTCATGCCCCATTGGCTTAAACAATTATGTTGCAAAAATTACTGTTAACATTTCCATTTGTTTTAGTGATATAATATATTTAACATGAGATAATATGTACTTTAATGAAGATTTTCTTTTCTATTTATAACTGAGTCAGGTTTGTTTTTTGGCTTGTGTTTTTTTTTATGAGCAAGTTTAAATTGAAATACATTTAAAACATGAACTTATGTGTTCATATCACGTTGGGGTCACTAAAAAAACACCAAAAAACCCCAAACAAACAATCATGAACTTATAACTAGAGGTGTACAGACTTCTTCAAAGTACATAGGTAAACTTTATTGAAATAACATTTCTTTTCATCGTTTACATTTTAGTTTAAGCATATAAAACAATTATCCCGAGAAGGAGCTTTGCTAGTTTCAAAGTAAGCCATGGGAGAAAAATCATTAAGTGTAGGGAGAACTGTCTTTTCCCAAAACATTTTTAAGGTACAATTAAGAATCATAAGGGCTTAGATATTTTTCAGAAAGTCAAAATACACCATAATCTTGAGTTAGTAGGTTAACTCTATATATTCATTGCTTTTGGTTCTAAGATTTCTTTTATGAGAGCTGACATTATAGAAGAATAGTATAACTTTTATTTTTCCCCCAAGATAGAAAGAATGCAAAAAGGAAAGAAACTCTGATCTCTGAAACAATAGAATTTATAGACATATTTCTCTGGCAGATCAGGCCAACATGTTATTGTATTTGGCTAAAGGCCATGTCAAAATCAACAGAGCAAAGAGTCAGCATTGTGCTCCTAGATTAAATAAATAAAACGAAAACAAAATAGAAAAAAAAACATTTAAGGGTGTTTCAAATGTGCTATTTCATAGTTAATTTTAAATGTAGTCATTAAATATATTGTTATATTGATTTGTGAGACTAAAATTAATGTCTGTATTTTTTTTGTGTCAACTGATAAGTTAATATTTCAATATTATGTTAACATTTCTGGGGGTGGGAAGAAAAAGAAATCATTCCAAGAAATGTCTTTTGTCTAAGATGTACAGAAAGAATAAGAGGTGATACATAATCATTTTTATCTTAAAGTTACATAAATTGTACCAATATCTCAGCATAAGTGATTTCAAAATAACTAGAGGCTGGGTCTAAGTATAAGACTTCAGCAGATATAAATTATACAACTACAGTTAGTCTTCTTCCAAAATGTAGGGTTTATGCTACATTGAATAACCAAGAATCTAAATATTATTTTTGTTTTATAGGTAAAAATGTAACCACTGCAATGTAGATGTTTTAGTTAATTTAAAAATATTGTAAGAGAAGATGTTGCTAGAGATATTTAGCTTGAGGTCATTACTGAGAAATAGGCTTTTTTGAAAATCCATTTCAAGAATATAAGCAGTGATATCAAGTTTTATTTTCTAATAGATAACATCATTGTTGTAAAGTGTGTTTACTATATGACTATTGATTTCTTTTGCTCATCACCAAATAGAACTATATAATAAAATTTTCAAAACTAAGTTCATCCTGGAGAGGGTGAAACAAGTTTACTCCTTGGAGGCAAGGATTTTGAAGTTCCATCTGACATATCTGAGCATGAAAAAGGAGAGTCTAGTCCTTGGAGGGGGATATCATGCTTGGGAGGGTGAATGAACCAACACAAGAGATGAAGACTTTTAATGAGATGAATTGACTCAGAGATTAGGGTAAGGGGGGTAGGTATGTCAGAAGTAGTAAGGTTTGCTCAGGATAGAGCAGGGTTCAGAGCTATTTTACATAGGGCCAATATAAGTTGCAAGCAACTTGACGGCACATAACAACTAAATAAAAAAAATATGTATCCACAATATATGACAAAATTGAATAAGCATTTATTCATACTTCATTTCTTTCACAAGAAGTATGTACCTACAGAAGGTGAAAGTTTTAGTAGTAAATGGTCATTGTTTTTAGATGCTTGGTGAAACAACTGGAAATTATAGAGTTGCATGAGCCTTATTTAGCTCTGTGGTATACTGCATTATATAAATATAAATATATTTAATAAATATATAGTGTAATGCCTTTATAGTTTAGATATTTAAGTTAAGGGTAACAATCTAATCTAATCTAATCTGTTTGCTTAGTTTTTATGCCTTGCCTTTTTAGGACCAACCAGGAGGTATTAAATTTCTGTTTTTGGCATTTACATTTTTTAATTGGCTACTTATAGGACCTGAAAATCTACTCACCAAGACTATATTATATTAATTGAACTTGATATTCCCTGAAGCTCTGTTACTGAGATGTGAGGACCAGTAACTCATGTCATATAGAGTGTTTGGTTATGAGTAAGAAATTTATAAAATATTTTCCCTGTTGTCATTACCACATCTGTGTATATATTTACAGCATATATAAACATGTTCAGAGGAATACCATCTGCTATACCTAAGTATGGTCATAATTGTAGGCCATTTCATCCATGTATACCTTCACCTTAATATTTGAATAGAATTCCTTTAATATTTTAAGCTAAAAAATGGAATGATTTATAGAAAAACTAAACTATTTTACATAAGAATGATAAAAATGTTTAAATATCTATGTACTTTGTTTTGATGATTATTTCTAAAATACTTCTCTATGTAGTAAATTTCTTATTTTTCTAATATAGAAAAGGATTCTTTTTGGAAAAAATATTTAGAAAGTCTTGCAACCTACTTTAGAAAAATATACTAATAACTTAGAGGTCATCAACATTTCAGTGAAAAATTCATGTTTGAAAGTTTTCTTAGTGTTTTAAAGTTTATTTAAATGTATTGAAGATGACGTTGAAAAAAACTTGCAAAAGGTAGACTTGCTTTTCCAAAATCTATTCAAATATTTTGCATTGTTGTTGTTGTTAGGTGCCGTCGAGTCCTTGCAACTCATAGCAAATGTACAACAGCCCTAAACTTGGCTCTGTCTTGTAACAATTGCACTGTCCCTGACACTCCCATCCCAATAACCCCAGTCACCCAATCAATCCATGTCACAGAGGGTCTTCCCTTCCTGCGCTGTCCCTCCACCCTCCCCAGCATGATGTCCTTCTCCAAGGACCAGTCTCTTCTTACATGTCCAAAGTATGTTAGACGGAGCCTCAGAATCCTTGCCTCCGAAGAGCCACCGGGTTTAACCCTTTCCAGGACAAATCTGTTTGTTTCCTAGCAGTCCATGGTACTCTCAATACTCTTCTCCAGCACCACAACTCAAAGGCATCAATTCTCTTTCCGTCGTCCTTGGTCATTGTCCAACTCTCTGATGCATAACAAGTGACTGCGACTATCATGGCCTGTATCAAATGCACCTTAGTCTCCAGAGAGACACCGTTGCTCTTCAGTACTTTGGAGAGGTCCCTAACAGCAGACTTTCACATAGCAATGCGCATTTTAATTTCTTGGCTATTGGTGCCAAGACTGTTGATTGTGGAGCCAAGCAAACTAAAGCTGTGAACAATCTTAATCTCTTCACCATCCATCCTGATGCTGCCAATTGGTCCAGTGGTGAGAATCTTTGTCTTATTGACATTGAGCCTCAATCCATATTGGAGGCCACAGTCCTTGACCCTCTGCAGCAGGTATTTCAGGTCTTCTTCATTTTCAGCAAGCAGTGTTGTGTCATCTGCATAACACAAATCGTTGATAGATCTTCCACCAATCTTGACCCCACATTTCTCCTCATAGAGTCGAGCCTTAAGATGATCTGTTCTGCATACAGGTTGAAAAGGTATGGAGATAGAATGCATCCCTTGGTTACGACCTTCCCAGTTTTGAACCATGCAGTGTTCCCGTGCTCTGTTCTGACGACTGCCTCCTGGCCCAAGTATAGGTTTCGCATTAGAACTATCAAGTGCTCTGGGATTCCCATTCTACTCAGAGTCAGCCACAGTGTGTTATGATCCACACAGTCAAATGCCTTTTCATAGTTAATGAAACACAGAGAGACATTCCTCTAGTATTCTCTGCTTTCAGCTAAGATCCATCTAAAATGAGCTACAATATCCCTAGTACCACGACCCCTTCTAAACCCAGCCTGGATTTCTGGTAGTTCTCTGCTGATGTGCTGTTCCAGTCGTTTTTGGATAATCTTCAGTAGAATCTTGCTTGCATGTGGAATCAGTGAGATTGTTCTATAGTTTCCACATTCAGTTGGGTCACCTTTCTTTGGAATGGGAACAAATATAGATCTATTCCAGTCAGTTGGCCACGTGGTTGTTCTCCAGATTTCTTGGCACAACTTGATGAGCATGTTCAGGGCAGCATCTGTTAGCTGAAATATGTTAATTGGTGTACCATTTATTCCTGGGGCCTTATTTTTTGCTATTTCCTTCAAAGCAGTCTGAACTTCTTTCATCACCATAGGCTCTTACTCATATGTTGTTTCATGAAATACTTCTGTGTCTGCCAATTCCTTCCGATACATTGACTCAGTATATTCTTTCCATATTCTTTTAATACTTCCTGAATCATTTACTATTCTGCCGAAAGCATCCTTGATTATAGCAACTCGAGGTGTGAATTTGTTCTTCAGTTCCTTGAGCTTAAGAAATGCTGAGAGTGTTCGGCCCTTTTGATTTTCTGACTCCAGCTTCTTGCACATTTCATTGTAATATTTTGCATTGTCATCCCGTGCTGCCTTTTTGGAATCTTCTATTCAATTCTTTAGTATCTTCAATTCTTCCTTGTGCTTTGGCTTCTTTATGCTCCGGTGCAATTTTCAGAGTCTCTTCTGACATCCATTTTGGTCTTCCCTTCCTCTTCTGTCTTTGTAATGATTGCACTCTTCCTGGATGATACCCTTGATATCCTCCCACAACTCATCAGGTCTTCGCTCATTAGTGTTCAAGGCCTCAAACCTGTTCCTGAGATAGTTCTGAAATTCAGGTGGGATAGACTCAATGTCATATTT